CCAGCAAACAACTAGCCTGTCCTTTAGGAATGGACTAATAGCAAAGAGCAGGTGCCCAAACTGTGAACCTGAAGGTCACTCCCCACTTCTCACCCCCCCGCAGGCAGTCCTTCTCCTTCCCTTTTCTTTTTATTAGTGGCAGATGTCTGTCCTCATGTCTCTCGGGAATTGTAGGCTTCCCGAAGCAGGGGATATCCTACCGGTGTTGGGCGGCCCTCCAGTGCCCAGGTCAGGGCCTGGCACGCTGTGTCCATTGCACCAGTGTCTGAGGGATGGACAGGCCCGTGAGGGCTCTAAGCAGCACCGCAGGTGTGGGGGGGTCACCGTCAGGAGCACCCAAACCCACCTGCCCTGTGCCGCGCTGGGCCAGTGCCGTGCGGAGTCACTCAGCCCCCAGTGATGAAGCCCCCGNATGCGGAGTCACTCAGCCACCAGTGATGAAGCCCCCGCGACGTGCAGAGTGGGCCTGGCCCAGGAACGCGACAGGAACACAGTGTCTGCCACAGTCAGATGTGCATGTGCCAGGCATTGGGCCCAGTTGTTACTCTATCAGGCAGATGCCCGTTTCATTTACCAAAAAAGCAAAGTGTTGATGTATGGGATGTACCTAGAAGTTTTCCTAGGACCGAAGTTTTCATGGGAATGGGTGTGGACTGCTTTGGGGAAAACGTTTTGAGAGCCCCGTCCTGGCTGCAGTGACCTCTGGGCACAGGAGTCCGTCAGTGGGACTCAGCCTGGGTTGTTAATCACTGAGGAAAAACCACCCCAGAGAAAGCCGGGGTGACATGTGGTCAGGGTGTGGCCTAAACCCACTCTCTATGGTTCCCTCTCTTCTCCAGATATTGGAAGGTCTCTGGCTAAATGATGAGAGTGGACACGACTACTCTGATTACCACAGTCACCACAATGAGGATGCCGCCGCGGGTCCCCAGAGCCCCGACAGCTCTCAGGAAGGAGCCAGCGACAATTATGACGACTACTAACCAGTGTCCGTCTGTGCAGAGGCCAGGAGGGTCCTCTCTCCTCTTCCTAACCCGGCTCAGAGGCTCCTGCTGTGCTTTGCTTCAGCCACTCTTTCGGGCCCACTTTGTGACCAGAAAGAAAGAGTTAAAACAATGAATATAAACTCTTTTTGATAGTTTATGCAAGTACCTAACAGTGCATTTCATTAAAAATAGCAATAAAAGCATTTTGTTAAAAAGAAAAGTCTCAGACTGGATTTGGATGAAAATTAAGCAGCTCACAGTTTTCATTACTGGAGTGTTTGTAGAGTTGAGGCGCCACCTGAGAGGCCCCTCTCTGTCATCACCCCAGCGGAACCTTCCAAGAATGTCACCACCCCCAGGCGACCCTGGGACTCAGGAGGGGTCTTCCTTTTGTTAAAATTCAGTCCACATTAAATGCAAGGTATAGAACCAGCCAGGAAGCTTAGCTGAACATTCTTCAAGGTCACAGAGGTAGGCGTTCTGGGCGCCAGGCCC